AAGCGCCGTAGGGAAGGGGAGACCATACGGGTGGGAGATCGTATGTGGTTGTCAACCCAAGGGTTACCTTTTAAGGGGGGGTGCAAGAAGTTGCAGCCCAGGCGGCTGGGACCGTTTGAGGTAACACAGCAGGTTAACCCCGTGGCATTCAAACTCAAATTGCCTGACAGCATGAAGATACACCCGGTGTTCCATAGGTCCCTACTCTCACCGTACAGGGAAGGATGGGGGTTCCCGGGGCGAGAGGGGGAAGTCACCACACACCCGCAGGTAGAAGAGAGGGAGCACCGCAATTTGGCCACGGAAATACTTGATTCAAGGTGGCGAGGGCGCCAGGTGGAGTACTTGGTGGCTTGGGAGGGAGAACCCGGGTCGGAAAACACAGGGGTTCCCGCGGAGGCAATCACTGACGGGTATCTGGTGGCGGAATTTCACCGCCTGTTCCCGGACAAACCCAAACCACTAGCGAGATTCTGGGAGGAGCAATTTGGAACCACAGACGATGAAGAGGATTTTGTGGGTTTTTCTGCCTCCGAAGGGGAGGGAGAAGAGGCTTCGGAGAAAGAAGAATCAGACTGGGAGGCCCACCCCAAGGGAAGGGATCAGAACGGGTGGGAAGCGGGTTTTGAGTCCTCAGAGGATGACGACAGCTCCTTCCGGGGGTTCCCCCGCATCGTCGGCCGAAGAAAGGGACGAAGTTGGGTCAACAGGTTGGGCCGGGGGTGGAGGGGGTCCTGGGGGGGAGGTGGATGTCAGGGAACAATATATTTTGAAAGGATTTGAAGAAAAATCTTTCCGGTGGAGAATAAATGAAAATCTTTTTGATGATCAAGAAAGCCGACTTCATAAAACTTAGGGAAGTGCTGGGTGAGATCCCATGGACAGTAATACTAAAAGGAAAAGGAGTTCATGATGGTTGGGAGTTTGTTAAGAGGGAGATAGTAAAAGCACAACTTCAGGCAATACCAATGAGACGGAAGCATGGAAGGTGCCTAAAGAAGCCAGGGTGGCTATCTAAAGAACTTTTAACTGAGTTAAGATTAAAAAGGATGTGTACAAAAATGGAAAAGGCGGGAAACCACCAAAGAGGAATTCAAACAAATAGCCAGCACGTGTAGACACAAAGTCAGAAAAGCTAAAGCACAGAATGAACTCAGGCTTGCTAGAGAGGTTAAAAGCAACAAAAAAGGCTTTTATGGGTATGTTCGTAGCAAAAGGAAGAACAAAGAAACAGTGGGGTCACTCAGAGGAGAAGATGGTGAAATGCAAACAGGGGACACAGAAAGGGCTGAACTCCTCAATGCCTTCTTTGCCTCAGTCTTCTCCGATAAAGAAAACAATGCCCGACCTGAAGAATTTGAAGCAAATGATTCAGCAAAGGAAACACAGACCAGAATAACTAAGGAGATAGCACAAGAATACTTGGCTAGTTTAGATGTATTCAAGTCTCCAGGGCCAGATGAACTGCATCCAAGAGTATTAAAAGAACTGGCAGATGTGATCTCAGAACCACTGGCAGTCATCTTTGAGAATTCCTGGAGAACAGGCGAAGTCCCGGCAGACTGGAGGAGGGCAAATGTTGTCCCTATTTTCAAAAAGGGGAAAAGAGAGGACCCAAATAATTACCGCCCAGTCAGTCTGACATCAATACCAGGGAAGATTCTGGAGCAGATCATTAAGCAAACAGTCTGTGAGCACCTAGAAAGGAATGCTGCGATCACCAATAGTCAGCATGGATTTCTGAAAAATAAGTCATGTCAGACTAACCTGATCTCGTTTTTGACAGAATTACAAGCCTGGTAGATGAAGGGAACACAGTGGATGTAGCCTACCTTGATTTCAGCAAGGCATTTGACAAGGTGCCCCATGATATTCTTGTAAAGAAGCTGGTAAAATGCAGTCTTGACTATGCTACCACTCAGTGGATTTGTAACTGGCTGACTGACCGAACCCAAAGGGTGCTCATCAATGGTTCCTCTTCATCCTGGAGAAGAGTGACTAGTGGGTGCCACAGGGTTCTGTCTTGGGCCCGGTCTTATTCAACATCTTTATCAACAACTTGGATGATGGACTCAAGGGCATCCTGATCAAATTTGCAGATGACACCAAACTGGGAGGGGTGGCTAACACCCCAGAGGACAGGATCACACTTCAAAACAACCTTGACAGATTAGAGAACTGGGCCAAAACAAACAAGATGAATTTTAACAGGGAGAAATGTAAAGTATTGCACTTGGGCAAAAAAATGAGAGGCACAAATACAAGATGGGTGACATCTGGCTTGAGAGCAGTACATGTGAAAAGGATCTAGGAGTCTTGGTTGATCACAAACTTGACATGAGCCAACAGTGTGACGCGGCAGCTAAAAAAGCCAATGCAATTCTGGGCTGCATCAATAGGAGTATAGCATCTAGATCAAGGGAAGTAATAGTGCCACTGTATTCTGCTCTGGTCAGACCTCACCTGGAGTACTGTGTTCAGTTCTGGGCACCACAGTTCAAGAAGGACACTGACAAACTGGAACGTGTCCAGAGGAGGGCAACCAAAATGGTCAAAGGCCTGGAAACGATGCCTTATGAGGAACGGCTAAGGGAGCTGGGCATGTTTAGCCTGGAGAAGAGGAGGTTAAGGGGTGATATGATAGCCATGTTCAAATATATAAAAGGATGTCACATAGAGGAGGGAGAAAGGTTGTTTTCTGCTCCTCCAGAGAAGCGGACACGGAGCAATGGATCCAAACTACAAGAAAGAAGATTCCACCTAAACCTTAGGAAGAACTTCCTGACAGTAAGAGCTGTTCGACAGTGGAATTTGCTGCCAAGGAGTGTGGTGGAGTCTCCTTCTTTGGAGGTCTTTAAGCAGAGGCTTGACAACCATATGTCAGGAGTGCTCTGATGGTGTTTCCTGCTTGGCAGGGGGTTGGACTCGATGGCCCTTGTGGTCTCTTCCAACTCTATGATTCTATGCTCTTTATATACCATACCCAACAGCTTAATTACCACAACTTAACAGCACCTGCTATACTGCTTCACCTGCAAAACTAGGTCACATTATTTGCTCTCGCCCTTAAAGACATACACATCTTGTGAAACAATAATGAACCTTCAAATTTAAAGAGACCATTCAACACCTCACCTGCTCTTCGAGTTTCTTGAAGCACTGCAATATCAATGTTAAAACACTGCAGCTCTCCTGCAATGATGGCAGTTCTGCATTTGGGATGCTCATTATCTGTGTTATCCAACAAAGTCTGTATATTCCATGTTCCAAAGTTCAGTTGTCCTTTACAACAGCTAGGTGCACCCCACTGGGTGCAGTAATCCAGTCAGGGGGAAAGGGGAGGCAGACTATGCTTAGGGCACCTTTTCTAGCTCCTCCCTCTTTTTCAGGTGAGCAGAGTGGATCCTAAGTAGGGCTGCTCAGTCACGGATACAGCTGCTGAGCTGCTCAACTGCCTCATTCCTTGAGTCAGAGAGACTGAATCTGTATCCACTGCCCAGGTGCCAGTTCATGACTAGGGGCTTCCAGATTTCACAATCCTGCCCCATTACCATCTGCTGATTGCCATGGGACTTTTTGGGGTTTGGGTTTGGGATGGGTTTTTGGAAGACACCTGTAAATTTGTTTTACTTTTGGGGGTTTGGGTTTGGGATGGGTTTTTTGGGGTACTCAAGGGTACGCAGTACAGGCACTTTTTTTCCTAGAATAAAAGCACTGCACGGAACAAAGAAGTGGCTGTCACAAGTCTATCCAAGTCAGTTGTCTTGCACAAAGATGAGGAAACCCGTGGCCCAGGAGATGTTACTAGACCCCACTAGCCCCAACCAGCTGAGAACCCTGATTGGGGTGGGGGGGGTGGCAAATCTTAATTCTTTCCCCAATTTCTCACTTTCAACTATTTTTCTAAAGCAGTGCTTGCAAACACTTTGTTTACATTACATTCTCTGAGAAAGGAAATATGAAATGCTATATACCAACATATTGCACCATGAATGTGCCAAACTTGTGGCTGCTGTTCAGGTTTGAAATTCTTGTCTCCTAGCAAAATCCAAGCCCGCCCACTTCCCAATCTGGCATTTGTCTGCCAGGGTGCTGTTCACAGCCCAAGTCTCCAAGTTCTACTATGGTCAGTGGGACATGGCCCTGCTTATTATAGGACAACAACCTATGAACTGCCCGACCCCATGGGCATAGCCAGGATTTTTGTTAGGGGGGAGCTTTTTTTAGGAAATCAAAGTTGCTGAGCTTTTCTTGGGAAATCATGGGTATAAATTATGGTTACCAGATGTCCCCGTTTCCCAGGGGCAGTCCCCGGACAAAATCCGTCCCCAGAATGTCCCCGGATTTCATTTAATGTCCCCAGATATATATTTTAAGTGTTGTAGATTTATTAGTAGGGAATGAATGTTGCGTGATTGGTTCAACGGCACAAGACACATCATATGGGGACTTCTGGCGAGGCAAAATGGTGGGCACCATGGCAGCGAGCAGCTCCTGAAGCCAGCCAGAGCCAACTGCACTACCAGGCTGGCTCCAAGCTGCTGAGGTTGCCACTGCCAAGGCGGAACCAGGGACACCTGGAACGCCAACTGGGGGAACCGCAGAGCCAAATCAAGCCGGGAGTGAGAGCGCCTGGCCACCCAGCCAACTGCCCAGCGGCGCTCCAGGGCCAGTAAAAACCCTGGAGCCAACACAGGGAGAAGGAGGAGAGAAGAAGGAGAAGGAAGAGAAAAAGAGGAAGGAGAACACAGAGGGGAGCCCTGACCTTGCTGCTCTGCCACCGCGGAAGAGAGGTAGGCGAGCACCGGGAGAGCAAGGACATGTGGCTGAGCCCAGGCCCAGCCTGAGGCTATTCCACAGCCGATAGCGCTCCAAGAGATCAGGCCCAGAGGAAGGCTGCGCGACAGAGGAGACCACAGAAGAGAAGATATTACTTCTTAATTTTCTTTAAAAATGATTTTTTCAAACAAACTTTTTTTCTCTCTTTTTTTTTTAAAAGTGTCCCGAATTCTTTGAAAAAAATCTGGTAACCTTAGTATAAATACCCCGCAAAAAGGATATTGCGGGGGGGGGCAGGCTTCTGCTGGGGGGGCAGAGAACCTCAGATAATTGAGTACTTTCAATGCTCTTCAACAATATTTGTGGATGGGGGGAACTGCCCTGCTGCCCCCCCTTTGGACTCGCCCTGCCCTACCCCCCCCAAAAAAAAGTTCCTTGGGAGGGGGCAAAGGCTTGCGATCATTTTGTTAAGATTTCATTCTCCGATGCAAATGCGTTTCCGGGACCAAACGATAAAGGAAGAATAAACCCCAAATAAAAGCGAACATGCATCAGCCCAAAGATGTCGCAAGATTAACACGACGGGGCGGTTGAAGCAGGGGGGAAATGCACAGCTCATCCTGAATCTTCGTCGCGAAACATTTTCCTGGCTTTGCGGGGGTGGACTAGATGGCCCCGGGGCGTCCCTCGCCGCTCTCCAATCCCGCTCGGGAGGCGGAGAGCGCGAGGCGCGCACGTGCGCATGCGTCCCCGAGCGCTTCGTCCCGGCGGAGAAAGGGAAGAGCGGCGGCGGTTTGTCTGCTCTCGGCCGGTGAGTGGCGGGCGGTTGGGCGGGCGGCGCGGGAGGTGGCGGGGGGCGCGGGGAGGAAGCGCGCCGCTCGGCTCGCCGCTCTCCGGCTGCGCAGCCCCGGGAAGGGGTTTGGGGAACGAAGCTGCCCCCGGAGAGGAGCCAGAGGGGGCGCCCCTGGGGGGGGGTCTGCGGGCAGGAGCCGGGGCTGCCCAGGGGCCCCGATCCCCGACGCCCTTTGCCCCCAAGGGCGATCCATGCGCGGCCGCACCTGGCGACGCGGGGGCGGAGCTGGGGAGGCGGAAGAGGGCGGGGGCTGGGCGGACTGGGGCAATGGAGTGCGCCTCTGAGGGTGAAGCCAAAGCGCTGTGTTAGCAGCGCCCGTGGCCCCGTCAGTGTGGGCGGAGGGCCTGGGCTTGTCGGGAGAACAAGACGCCTCTCTCAGCCGAACTGATGTGCCAAGGGAAGCAGAGCCATGTGTTTGGCACCCGCAGGAGTTGCTGGCAGGAGGCACCATCTCATCGTCTTGGGGACGCCCCTCAGGATTTTTGTAGGATTTACTCCTAAACCTTTTCTTCCTCCAAAGATAACCCTCATGGCAGCAGAGGTTTAGGACCAGAGTTTTCTTTCTCTTACCTTCCTAGGCTGAGGAGCCCCATAGACCCCCCACTTCCCTCGACTGCACATGTAGGGGCTTGAGGGTTGGACCCACTCTTGATATCTTCCGCCCAGAGCCTGTCTTCACATGCAGGGGAACTCCGTAACTCATCAAGGGTCTGAGACCCATTGGCTACCTTCACCTGGTTTAGCTGTTCCTGGGGTGGGGCCACTGTCGCATGCTGACAGCTTCTAGAATCTAGGAGCTGAGGGGTTGGACTAGATGACTCTCGGGGATCCCTTCCAACTCTGCAGTTCTATGAACCAGCACTGGTATCTGGTTTGAAATCATGTCTGTTCTTAAACCAGGATCTAAGTCGCTTAGAAGTAGGTGGGGCTTGCAATGATGTCATTGTTTGCTTGCATGTTTGCTTGCTTGTTTGTTGCATCTATATTGCAGCTTTTTCCTCCAAGGAGCTCCAGGTGGTGTACATGGTAAGGTAGCAAAGGGGTGGGAAGTGCAGGTGAGGGGGGACTCCCACTCTCATCAGCCCCAGTGGGCAGGAATGGCAGTGGGAGTTCAGCCTTCATCTGGAGGAGCAAAGTTTCCTCGATGCTGGGATAGGATGACAGGATTGCCTGCCCAAGATGCAAAAGTCATGCAGTATATTGATAGAGGCTTTCAAAAGAATGCTCTTTTTAAAAAAGAAAAGAAAGAAAATGAAATACCTTGCAATTGACTGTCCCATTTTCTTGACAGGCTTAAAAAAATGGTGGTTCTCTTGCCTAACAGTGCAATCAATCTTCCCCTTTTTTACTCATCCCTGTTGACTTCAGTGGGAATGAATATGGGAAGATTCAAGACAGACAATTCACCTATGGAATTAGCTGCCACAAAATTTCACACTAGCTACCAACTTGGGTGGCTCTGAAATGGAATTAGGCAAAGTCAGGGAGATTAGAGCCTGTCAGTGAATAGGAGACACGATGGCTTTGTTCTCCTGCCACTGTCAAAGGAAGTGAACCTCTGACTGCCAGTTGCTGAGATGACAATTGGGGAGATAAAGGCTGTTGCATTAAGGTCCTCCTACGGCCACCTGAGAGCAGGATGCCTGACTAGATGAGCCTCTCACCTCATCCAGCAGGCTCTTAAATTCTTAGAATGGTAGAGATGGAAGGGATCCCAAGGGTCATCTAGTCCAACCCCTCCTGCAGAAATCTCAACTAAAGCATCCTTGGCAGATGGCCATCCAAGTGCTGCTCAAAAACCTCCAAGGAAGGAAAGTCCCTTGCACTGTCTAACAGCTTTTGCTGTCAGAAAGTTCTTCCTGATGTTCAGTCAGAATCTCCTTTCTTGTAACTTAAAGCCTTTGGTTTGAGTCCTGCCCTCCAGACCAGGAGAAAACAAGCTGGCTCCTTGTGACAGCTCTTTAGATATTTGAAGATGGCTATCACCGTGACGTTTCATGAGCTCATGGCGCCTGGGGAGGCACATGTGAGCTGGAGGGATGTGTGCAAGGCAGGGGGGGAGGGCGAAGGAGCCCACCATGGCACCCCAGCCCTTGCCGTCAACCCTGCCAGAGTGACCCCGCCCCAGATCCAAGCAGGGTTGTGCTGCGCCTCCTACCTGCCGCACAGCGGGGAACACAGCCAGCTGACATTGCACTTGTGGGTGTGAACCAGGCGCTCCCACACAGGTGCCCCCCATGTGGCCCAGTGCTCGTCCCCGCAAACGTTGGTTCCTCTGACCGGGCTGCGCTGCACCAGGGGCACCTGTGGGGGGCATCTGATTCATGCACCCTCAAAAATCCCTGCCCAGGGCCACTGCGCCTCTGGGCTCTCCTATCTCCTCTCAGTCTCCTCTTTTCCAGGCTAAACATTACCAACTCCTTCAACCATTCGTCATAAGGCTTGGTTTCCAGACCCTTGGCCATGTTGGTTGCCCTCCTCTGCACACATTCCAGTTTGTCAATATCCTTCTTAAATTGTGGTACACAGGACTCCTGGTGTGACCAAGGCAGAATAGAGCAGTGCTATGACTTCCCTTGAAGTAAACGTAAAGGGACCACTGACCATTAGGTCCAGTTGTGGCTGACTCTGGGGTTGTGGTGCTCATCTCGATTTATTGGCCGAGGGAGCCGGCGTACAGCTTCTGGGTCATGTGGCCAGCATGACTAAGCCGCTTCTGGCGAACCACAGCAGCGCACAGAAACGCCGTTTACCTTCCCGCCGGAGCGGTACCTATTTATCTACTTGCACTTTGATGTGCTTTCGAACTGCTAGGTTGGCAGGAGCAGGGACCGAGCAACGGGAGCTCACCCCGTCACAGGGATTCGAACCGCCGACCTTCTGATCAGCAAGTCCTAGGCTCTGTGGTTTAACCCACAGCGCCACCTGTGTCCCTTGAAGTATGTTCATCTTTAATCCTCACAACAACCCTGTGAATTAGGTTCGGCTAAGAGACTGTGAGTTACCCAAGATCACCCAGTGAGTTTCATGACTGAACAGGGATTTCAACCCCGGCCTCTCAGGTCTGAGCTCAACCCTCTAACCACTATACCATACTGACTCTCTTATGACTTATCCCCAGGTAAGTGTATAGTTTACATAGGATTGTGGTCCCCTCTCCGCCACCTCTGTTGACCTGCCAACAGCATGACTGTCCCCAGCACAGAAGAAATGAAGAGCTTCTGGAAGAGTTTCCAGGAGAAGAACCAAACCTGTTTCATCTTGGGTGCTTCTGGTGAAACTGGGAAGGAACTCCTAGCTGAGCTCTTGAGGCGACAGCTTTTCTCCAAGATTACCCTCATTGGCCGCCGGAAGTTGGAAGGATCACTTTACAGCAATGTGGTAATGAAAGCAAATGTTCCTTAAGTCATTGTTGATTTTTAAACATAGATCCAGATTCTCTTTCCCTCACCCCCGTTTTGTCCTCCCACCAACACTGTGAGGTAGAGTAAGCTATGGTAAGGTAAGGGTAAAGGACCCCTGGACGGTTGCCCAGTCAAAGGCGACTATGGGGTGTGGCGCTCATCTTGCTTCAGGCCAAGGAAGCTGGTGTTTGTCCACAGGCAGCTTTCTGGGTCATGTGGCCAGCAGGACTAAACTGCTTCTGGTGCAACCGGTCACCTTGACAAGTGCCAGAGCGCACAGTTTTGTTTACTAAGCTAAGAGATAGGTAAGCCCCTGAGCTTCCTGGGGATTCAAACCTGGGTCTCCTCCAAGCCTAGTCTGACTTTTCCACCACTAGACCACACCAGGGTTCCTCCAGGCATCCTATTTAGGGCTCATTCATGTTGGATTTGTGCTCATGATGCTCTTGGGCTAGTCATGCGCCATCCTACTTTGGTGGATGGAGCTCTCGCCAGAGATCTTCCCTTTCCTCTCCCAGTGTCTCATCCTGGGAGATCTTCACTTCCCTGCCTCTCACCTAGGGTCTGCTACTTCCATTTGGGTGCAGTCCTTCACCCCCAGAAGGGACGACCCCAAAAGGATGGCTACCTGTGTTGAATCCTCCTTGTGGTGGGCAGCCCACTGCCTGCAACATGCCTGGCTTCTCTCCCCATCTGGAAACACAACCTCAGGGTGCACTGAGTCAATTTTTCCTGTTTCTGAGCAGTGCCGGCCAATTAACACTGTTTCATACAACAAGATGCTCATTTGTGTTTCTTTAATAACTCTGCTGTCACGCCAAGATGTTGCTGCTGGATTTCTCTGTCAGAAACCACAGAGACATCTCTTAAGACGGTGGGCTTGGCTGATAAAAGTTGCTCTCCGAATAGAGCCAACAGTATTCAGAATGTTACACAAAACGCACAGGTGGAATCAATTAATATTATAGGTAAAACTTATAACCAAAAGAACAACAAAGAAGACACTCTTATGGGATGCTTCAGGAAGCATTGGGGGCAATACAGAATGTGGTATGGGGCTGCAGACAAGCTGCCCAGCTCTGCCCTGCAAGAATCCCCCACACTGGCTGGCAGGAGGTCTGGAGCAGAGAGGTGTGGGTTGGCCAAACAATCCTTGGAGAAATTGTAGATTTCTGCTCTCTAGGAAAGAATGGCAGAGCCAGCAGATGAGAGATGGGGTTACAACACCGCTTAACGTATGTATTCCCCCCCCCCATACACACATAAGTAGTCTGTGCTTGGCTTCCACATGTGTGGAGGTGTGGACGCTTCTAGGGAGTGTGATGACAGCTACACCAGGAGATAGAAGTGAGTTTACTTATTTGTTTGAAGCTTCATTCCTCCACGTGGGTCATTTTTTAAATTTGAAGATTTGCATGTTGTTTTCTCCTTCTTTTGGCTCCTCTCGTGCTCTGCATCCCAGTCACAAGAAGTTGTTGACTTTGAGAAACTGGATGAATCGGCGGCTGCCTTCCAAGGCCATGATGTTGGGTTTTGCTGCCTGGGGACAACAAAGGCCAAAGCCGGAGTGGTGAGCAACCAATGCCAGCAGGAGGGCGGGGCAGTATTTTGGGGGTGGGAGGAACTGAGGAAGATAGCAAGGCCCACACAGCCATGGGGAGCCTCAGGTCAGGAGCCATTCAAGCACCTGTATTGGTTCCGTAACCATCTCCCCATGCCACACACCCTCCACAGCTGCCGCTTCCCTCAGCCACATCTCCTGGTGATGCTTCTTGCTTGCCTGCATGGAGGATGGAGAGTGGCCTGTGAAGAAACTAGCCTAGTATGCAAATGTAGAATTCACATCTCTTGTTCCGCACATTTTTGCCACTGGCATGTGATCCCTGGAAGGTTTCTCAAAGGAAAAGTGGCTACCTGTCTCCGGAGTAAAAGGAAATGGGAACTGCATGAAGCAGCCACCCAAGCACTTTGGTGTGGCCTAATGTTTTTTTTAAAAAAAATAATATTTATTACTTTTATAGATTACAAAAAGAAAAAGAAAAAACAAGAAAGAAAAAACAGAAAAAAACAAAGGAGAAAAGCAAAAAGAAAAAAACAATACAATACAATATATAGACAATACAAAACACAACCTAAACTCAAAACTAAACACATTAAACTAAACTAAACAAACCCCACTCCCTAACCTTAACCCTAAATGAAACAAAACAAAAACAATTTAAAAACATACATCATCTCTTTTCCATACTCTTATCTTTCATTCCCTTGTTTCCTCGACCTCCTCTCACCTCCCTTTTTGTATTCCACTTCTATTAATTGTTTCAGCAAATCCTTTCCATCTTTCTCCATTTTCTGTAATATTGTAAATAACGTATTTTTTAACCTTATTTTCCATTAAAACTAAAATACTTATATACGCTTAACTCCTTATAACATTTCTGCTAAGCCCATAAAAAATCATTCCACCATTTTTCTATCACTCATTAGTTTTACCATAAGTCTATATATAAACTTTAAATTTTCCAATCTTCTTCCACCATCTCCTCTCCCAGGTTTCGGATTCTGCCAGTCCTTTCCGTCAACTCCATAAAGTCCATCAACCTGGTAATCTTATGTCCGAGGCTCTTAACTCTTTTCCAAGTCCCTTCTGCAGGTCTTCTTCATTTTCTTTAATGCTAAAGAGCAAATCTCGGGGAAACTCCAACCTGTCAATCCTTTTCTTCCTTCTGAACGGATCAGCTAAATTTCCATTGTTAAAGCTACAGTCCATAAAGTATTTCAGGGCATATTTCAAGATTCCTCCAAGTCCAAAGGGGTGTGGCCTAATGTTTGCTTTCTTTTCCTTTGTGAGGGAGCTGTGAGGGTGAAATGGGAGCGTTGGGACCTTGGCAGAGGATGCAATAGGAGTTGTTCATTTATTACATATGCACAACATTTCTTCCAAGTTGCATGAGGTTATCTAATTCTTTGTTCACAACAACCCTGTGAGGTACACTGGACTGAGAGAAAGACTAGCTTGCCCAACTTGAACACAGGTCTTTTCAGTCCAAGTGTTGCCCTGCACTAGCTGTCACCTGCTAGTTCAACCTACTGAGTGGAAATTATTGGTATTTAAATATGGCTTGAGTCACCCTTACCCTTTGGAATAGAGAGGATTTCCAAATAAATGTTACTTTCTCTGGCCTGCAGGATGGATTTGTGCGGGTCGACCGTGACTACGTTGAGCACTCTGCGAGACTCGCCAAAGCTGGCGGCTGTCACCACTTCGTCCTGCAGTCGAGCAAAGGGGCCAATAGCTCGAGCCGCTTCTTCTACCTCCGGGTTAAGGTGTGTCTTGTTGGAGAGAGCCTAGTCCTGGGGTGCAAACCCTCTGGCCCTCCAGATGTTGCCAGACTCCAGTACTCATCAGCTGCGAGTTGCAGCCCAGCAACATTGGGTGAGCCACAGGTTCCCCAGGTCTTTCAAAACAAAGTAATCAATCTATGGGAGGAGACACCAGTTTTCTGAGCTGTTCTGAATTCTGTCCTTAAATGCCAAGTTCTAGGTTTTAATTTTATGTACAGATGGCTGTGGCTCTAGGCTCTATTCATTCTACTGCTATTCTGGATATTAGCAGAAGCTATTATTATTATTATTATTATTATTATTATTAATAATTATTGCCTTTCCTCCAAGGTGGTTTACAGGGTTTTCTCTCCCTCCCCCAGACCATTAAACTTTCACAAAAGCCCTCTGGGGTTTGTTAGCTGAGAGAGATTAGTAACTGGTCCATGATCATCACGTAGCTTTCATAGCTGAGGAATAATTTGAACCTGGGTCTCCCCAGTCTTGGCCTGACACTATCAGCACTACACACACGAGCGTGCACACACACACAAAAAACCCAGAAGCAACTCAGTGTTTGTGGTTCAAAATGAAGAGGTCAAGGTCAGTATCCCTGCCATAATATGGTGTGCTGTAGATGCGAAGCCAACGTAAGCCCTAATAAAGGGATGTGGTGGGGCAAGAGTGGGGGGGGGGGCTTGGGTTGGATCCTCAGCCCATGCAGCTCAGTTTCATGACCTGGTAATCCAGTGTAAGTTACACTGATGAAAAGGGAAGTGTTACTCAAACCCTGTTTTAAAGGCTCGCTTTTCTTCTGCCAGGCTTAGGCCAGCTCCGACAGGAGAAGCTGCATTCCTGAACAGAGTTTGGATCTGGTGTACTTTACGGTGTTTTGCTTCTTGTGTATAGGATTGCTTCATCAGCTGCCCGTGCCCTGGTAATTTTGAAGCTGGATTACTGCAGTGTACTTTTCATGGGGCTGCCTTTGAAGACAGTATGGAATACTGCAGCTAGGTTGTGAACAGGAATCAGGCAAAAAGATCATATCTTGCCTGCATAGAAACAACTCTACTGGCTCCCAGTGTTTTCAGGTTCAATTCAAAATATTGGTTTTAATCCCTAAGTTCTAATACATTTTAGGTCCCAGATAAAAATCCAAACAAGTTGTTTTCCCAGTCTCTTAAAAAGTGAAATATTTTAAAACTTGGAGCAACTTGATTTTACACTCTTTAAATTGGGTGTTGATGTTTCAGATGGTTTTTAATTTGCTGAGTTAGTTTCATTGTATAATAACAGTAATATTTTAAATTGTACCTCTTGTATCTTATTACTGTGTTAACTACCCTAGAAAAATGAATCTATGTTAAAAGTGCAGGATAAAACTTTTGTATGTAAATAAATGAACATGTGTGTGAGAGATCTGATATTTCATTTCCTCTTCTCCTACAGGGTGAAGCAGAGGACAGGGTCCAAGCAGTTGGCTTTGACCATTGCTCCATTTTTAGACCAGCGTAAGTAATGCAAAGTGTGTGTTTGTTTGTGTGTCTGTGTGTAGATTGGGGATGTGTGGGTGAGATAGAAGGAAAAGCAGTCAACTATTGACGGCCGTTGTGGGGATGATGAGTGGTTGATGGGCACATCACAGTAGCGCTTGGGGGCGGGTTACACTTCTGTGCATTGACTGACCCACCCCTGCAGATCTATGTATTTAAACCTTCTCCTCCCAACAGGCACGAACTAGTCAACTCCCATCTTGTTGTCTACTCGGGAGCAGGTCCCAAAGCACAGTGTGTGGATGTGAGGAGGCTTCAGTCCAACGTAACCTGTGGATAAGACACGAGCAGCCCTGCACCCAGTGAAACAAAAAATACCTTAATTTCTGCTCTATAGGACGCACTTTTCCCTCCTAAAAAGCAAGGGGAAATGTGTGTGCGTCCTATGGAGCGAATGCAGGGGGGAGGCAGGCGGGAAATGTCCTCAAGAGCCGCACACAAGCTCCGTGCGGCTCTTGCGGGCTTTTCCCCAGGAGGGAGAAGGGACTGATGCGGCCAGTCAGTCCCTTCTCCCACCTCGTAGAAAAGCCCACAGGAGCCACGCACCCTTTAAAGAGCGCGCCACTCTTGCTGGCTTTTCCCCGAGGAGAGACAAGGGACTGACTGGCTGCATCAGTCCCTTCTCCCTCCTCATAGAAAAGCCCGCAGGAGCCGTGTACTCCTTAAAGGGTGCGTGGCTCCTGTGGGCTTTTGCGGGAGATGGGGGAATTCCCCCACCTCCCGCAAAAGCAGGGAGAAGGTCTGGGAGAAGCGCACAGGCATAACTAACGAAACAACTTTCCAAAGTTTGTAGTAGAAGAGGACTGTTCCAGTTTGGTCTCAGGGGGTATATAATGCCAGTTCAGTTGCCCTGGATTGGTTACCCTTTAACCACCGTTTGGTATAGGTATTATTAAAGAAGTTGGTAAAATAGTGGTTATGGCTCCATCCTTCCAAGGGCAGTTTGGCTTGATGTAATCCATCCTACTTATCTTTCCATCTCAAAGGAAACCCACGGTCACAGGTATGAGGTTATGGCATAATCCGCTCAACCTGTGAAGCCAGTTGGAATCCAAGATACTGACTTACCAGAGGCCTCCCCAGTGGGTTTTATGACTGAACAGATATTTGAATCTTGATCGCCTCAGTTCCAAGTTCAGCCCTCCCACATAACACTGGCTCTTGTTTGCAACAGGTCGCTTGGCATCATTTTACTCCCAACAGTGGCTAAGTGCGCATTATGACAACATTCTGTTGGGCGTTCCAGCTCTTCTTGAGGGAGTTGTCACTAACCAGATCCAGGCTCTCTTGGATGAGACCAATTTCCACCTGTGTTTAGGCCTGGTTTAGACTGAAACTGCCTTGGTCATCCTGTTTGATTATCTTTGTCAGGACAGAGGCAGGAGAATGTGACTCGGTTGGTTCTCTTTCATCTCTCAGTCTTCTGGAGCAGCTGAATTGGCAGTAGGTGGTGGCACTTGACAGTGGTTCTGGTCCTGTCTGTATGGCCATCTCCAGAGGGTTGTGCTCAGGAGATGTGAGGTGCCACATCTTCCATGCTGTTTAAAATCTGCATGAAACCACTGGAAGGGAATGTGGAGTATATTGCCATTAATTTGCAGGTGATTTGCAACTCTATTTCTGCAGGTGTAGAAGTGGATGTTCTAGACCAGGATGAGACGCAGTAAACTGAAGTTTAATTCAGATAAGATGGAATCACTGTTAATGGAGGTTCCTTGGACTGAATAGGTGGGGTTCAACCTGTTATGGATGGGGTTACACTCCCCCTATAGAAGCAGATGCACAACGTGGAGTTACTTCTGGATCCACTCCTATCACTGGAGGCAAAGTGACCTTGGTGGCATAGAGTTCCTTCCATGAGTTCCAGCTGGTGGCCCAGCTGTGACTTCATCTGGAGAAAGAGAGCCTAGCTTCCGTTGTCTACCTCCTGGTTAGATTATGCCAGTGCATTGACTTACCTGCGGGGCTGCCCCTTTCCCTTCATTAACCTGCCTAGACCCTGCATTCATTATCTGGGGTGTGGAGGGTGGCAACACAAGATCAGGCCTTCTCAGTGATGGCTCCCTGACTCTGGAATTCTCTCCCCAGATAGATGCACCTAGTGCCTTCACTGTTAACCTTTAGGCACCAGGTGAAGACATTCCTATTCACTCAGGCATTTCTCTCTTAATTAGAGTTATTATTTCAGTTAGGTGGGATGTGCCTTTTCATGTTGTTGCAGAATGAACACTTTTAGTTGATAATGTTTTATCTTCTGAAGTATTTGAAGTTTAATCTTATATTGCTTTTTTTTAATAAAAGCAAGTCACTTGGAGACAATTTCTTTGTAGTAAGTGACAGATAAATATAAGTAAATAATAACCCCCAAACCAGTAGCTCCCACCTCTGTATAAACTGGGTTGCTGTTTCAGCAGGAGTGAACAGCCCCCTACGCTGGAACCACTGTAGCTTCCATGTTGGGGCCTGAGGCAGATACTTAATATGCCCTGTTTGAAAAATTACTGTATTCACTGTCCTGAATCCAATACACTTGGTCTTTTATATGATTCACTGATTTTGCTGTCTCCAGAAATGCCCGTGATATTTGCAGCTTCCCCCTCCCTGCTTGCTTGTACTCTAAAAGGTATCCAGTGTGTTATCTGTTGCCTTCCAGAAGTCACCATTCTGAGCAGCCGTGATACCTGGTGACATCAGACAACTGAAAGGAAGTGGTTTTCTCCTTCTGTCTCCTACAGAGTGCTGCTGTGTGATCGCCAGGAGTCTCGGCCAGCAGAGTGGATGGCACAGAAATTCCTAGGAGTGGTAGCCCTTGTCTGCCCCACAGCCCTTTCTGTCCCAACAGTGACTGTGGCGCAGGCAATGCTGAATCATGTGGTGATGCCAGGAAAGGAGGGCCAGAAGGTTTATGTGCTGGAAAATGCAGATATACATGCCCTTGGGCAGGCAAAATAAGGGGCGAGGGTATTGTTTCCTAGATGACTTAGTGGCAGAGGGTGTCCTCGTTCCCCAAACCCAGTCTTTCCTGTTCTTCCTTTCCGCCAGAAGGTGCCCCTCAAGCAGTAGGGCCTTGCCTGTTAACTTGAAACCTTTCCTCTGTGTCTCCATGGTAATGGGACAAACCGCCACACCTCCCATGGCAGCCATTTTGAGTAGCACTGCTGGTTACCAGAAGGACAAATATTTGATTTTCACTGCTGTGCAGTGCTCACTAAAGATTGTAAAGCACATCTATGGAGGGAGGGTGCTGCTTATGGGGTCACTCTCCTCTGTGCCTTGATCTATGGGAGATCTGTTCTTGGTACAAGTCTTCTTTTCCTGTCATGCATTAAAATAAGATCCCCTCAAGTGCTTGTTTCCTTACTGCTTTGAAGGTACTGATCAGATCCCTTCTGGGCTAACTGCCTCTTCAGGAATGTGGCTGAAAACCAGCCATAACTGGTTTGCTCCTGTCAGTATCTATAAAATGTGTGATTGGGATACCCATGTCTGAAAACAGTGGGTCTGTCACCATCATTTGGACCAAAGATTATACCCTTCTAGGCGTTTCTGTGACACAGGAAATATTTGCAACCCTGGCAGGACTGAGCTGTCAAGCTTTCAGACATGTAACAATCTGAGCTGGCGCTGGGAACCTGGCAATCTCTTCCTAGTCCTATACCAAAGAAGATTGTGATTTCTTTTTATGTTGAATTTCTGCTTATGGCTCAAGGGAAAAATTGAATGTTATTCAACTCTCATGGGTGAAAATGAATAAGGGATGCTTTTTCTGCACAGGTTGAAAAGAGGAATGTAATAATGAACAGGACTTATCCACCACCCCGGAATTTTCTGCTGTGCTTCAAAGCTGTGTTACAGCAGTCACTTACAAGTTCCCAAGAGGGCACAATACATGTTCACATGATCTCCATTTGCACGAGGTACACCAGCCTTCACCAAACTTTTTAGAGAAACACACCTTTTTAGAGAAAGCCTTGTGTGAAGTGGCCTACAGATTGTGGAGGAGGGGCCTGTACAGGAATCTGCCTGGTATATTAGCTGTAGCTGAGCTCTGGTGCTTCAAGTAAAAGTCTAACTATCTTCGGCTGAATGCTAGTAAGTGAAGCTTTCTGATATTTTCATGGGTTTATTTGTTTTGCAGTAAGACTTCACCTTGTACAGTGAAATGTTCTCTCCCTCTCCTCCCCTCATGCATCCCTAAATCTGTTCTGAGGGTTCCCTGAACCTTCCAGAGCAGATCTAGGGAGCAGTAATTCGTATTGTGTTAGCACAAATCTTTTCATCATGAGATCTACCCAGTGACAAAACAGTTATGAATATGAGCTTGAAAGAAAAGTGCTGAATATTAGACTGTATGCTCAAGTTATCTGCATTGGATCTGACTGGTAGATCCCATTCAGATAAATTGAACATACAGTCCAATATTCTGATCCAGCACTTTTCTTTCAAGCGCATATTCATAACTGTCTTGTCACTGGGTAGATCTCAAGCAAAAATAGGTATTTCAGTGGATAATGCAAATGTTGAGAAGCAAAGTGAGCTAGCAAAGAAATGTCAAAACAATATTCAGCAAACAAGGCTTGGGAAAACCTGTGGACTTGACTTCCAATTGCATTTTATTTGATTCATGAATCAAAAAGTATGCTATTTTTTATGAAACAATTATGGTGTTGGTGATATTTCTAAAGCTGTAAATGTGTTTAATTCTTATTTATATATTCATTAAAATCATTTAAAAGGTTTTAAAGTTTTGTAGTGTAATGATTACATTTTAAAATGTTAGTTATAGCTTGAAATACCACTCCAAAATAATGTGTGTTCTTTAGATTTTGTTTCCGTTTTTCCTCCTTATTCCGTCCCAGCCAGCTCAAAATATAAATTATTAAAAAAAACTTAGGAACCAGCACTTAAATGCAGCATCAAAATTCAAACACATAAAATTAGGGCTGCTAATGTTAATTAATAGATTGACTAACTCAAGCTTTAATTGAAGTTACTGACTGTCCATTTTAGTCAGTGCAGCTGAAAAAAGGCCTCTGGTTTTTGAGGCTCTCTCAATTCTGTTTTCGAAAGGCAGGCTGGCTTTAATAAATGGTGACTTTTCTTAAATCCAGGGGTACCATCTATGCGGGACCTTGGGTGTCAAGCCCCCCCCCCCCCAATTTTCAGTGAAGAGGCCCCCCCCCTCCAGTTCTGCAGTGGCGCACTTATGTCTTGGGACGTCAGCACACCCTGCAATGTGCAGGGCAAGGCAGCACACCTGCTTAAATCATATATCACAATTTACACTTCAGTATTTCAATATAATTATAATTATTATTATTATTATTATTATTATTTATTTATACTCTGCCCATCTGGCTGGGTTTCCGCAGCCACTCTGGGCAGCTCCCAACAGAATATTAAAAATACGCTAAAACATCAAACATTAAAAACTTCCCTAAGCACACGTGCAATTAGAGGCTGAGATGGGAGTAATCAGCCTCCCAAACTCCTCCAGGATCGGAGGAAATAGGCTTCATATAGATGTTAAAAAGCATGAGGGAGAGGGGTCTGAACACTCATCCCCCAACACCACTTTCTGGACACAGCCCAGGAGGAAGGAGCGGAACCACTGTATAGCAGTGCCCCCAGCTCCCAGCCCCTCTAAACGCTCCAGAAGGATGTTATGGTAGATGGTATAAAAGGCCGCTGAGAGATCCAGCAGAACTAGGAAACAGATTTTGTCCCTAGGCTTTGTCCCTAGCCCGTCCGAGATCATCAACCAGCGCAACCAAGGTAGTTTCAGTCCTATGATGAGGCCTGAATCCCGACTGGAAGGGATTCAAATGGTCCGCATCCTCCAGACGTGCTTGGAGTTGTTCAGTAACCACCCGCTCAATCACCTTGCCCAAGAATGGAAGATTTGAGACTGGGCAATAGTTGGCCATATTGGCTGAGTCCAAAGATGGTTTTTTAAGAAGCAGTTTAATAACAGCCCCTTTCAGTGGGTCTGAGCAACTTTATCTGCAAAAAAACTTAGCAAAATCATTGCAGGAGTTCTTGGGGTCCTTACCAGGCCCCTTGGCAAAGGTGGTACTGTTGGATTGCGAACCACCCGAAAGAGTCTTCTGCTGCTGTTTTCTGCAGACGCAATAGAGGCAGTGAAGAAGGTCCTCTTCTCCTTTGCTATCGCCACTTGGTAGGCTCGACGTTGAGCTCTAACCTGTGTCCAGTCCGATTCAGAATGAGTTTTCTGCCACTGGTGCTCTAGCAATCTCAGCAATTCTTTCATCGCTGTCAGCTCTGGGGAAAACCACAAGGCTGTCTGGGCTCCATGCAATCAGAGAGGGTGCTTCGGAGCCAGACAGTCGATAGCCCTGGTTAACTCTGCATTCCAGTGGGCCACCATGGAATCAGCTGAAAGGCCATCTCATGGGATAAAACATTTCCTACCACTCTCTGGAAACCATTTGTATCCATTAAGTGGCAGGGATGGGCCATCCGAATCGGTCCCACCTCCCTTCAGAGGGGAAGAGTTGCGCAGAAGTCCAGTGGCACCAGGAAGTGATCCGACCGTGGCACTTCTTTTGTTTCACTTTTACTTGGTGTCACCCACATCCATAGATGTGAACACCAGGTCTAAGGCATGTCCGCGACTGAGTTGGGCCAAATTTATTCAGGGACAGCCCCATGGAGGCCATGCTTTCCACGAAGTCCCGAGCGGCCCTTTGTAAGGTTGTGATGGCATGGATGTTAAAATTCCCCAGGACAACCAAACTAGATGTCTCCAGGAGAACATCCGCCATGACCTGAAGCAGCTCAGGCAGGGAATCCTTTGTGCAGCATGGAGGTCGGTACACCAAAAGGAATCCTGTACTGCCCCTAATGTCCAACTTCCTTTTTTTTTTTTAAAGATATTTATTAAGAGTTTACAAGTTACAGAAAAAGCAAGAGAACAATAAAAAATTAAACAAAACAATACCTCAAAGAAAAAATAAAACAATACAATAAAACAACAAAGAAAAACAGAACAAAAACATTTAAAAACACATCCAACTTTTCCATATACTTACCTTTCATATACTTGTTTCATCGACCTCCTCACACCTCCCTTTTTTTTTATTCTAGTTCAATTAGCTACCGTATTTTTCGTTCTATAGGGCGCACCGGCCCATAGGACGCACCTCGTTTTTTTGGGGGGGAAATGAATAAAAAAAATTATTCCCCCCCCCGCCGCGGCTGCCGCCCCAAGCCTCGCGTGCTTTGGGCTGCAGGCTACCGCCCCAAGCCTCGCGCGCTCGGCGGGACCTCCTGCCGGGCGCGCAAGGCTTGCAGACACTCGCCTGAAGCACGGGGAGCCCTCCGGAGGGCTCCCCGTGCTTCGGGCGACAGGCTGCCGCCCAAGCCTCGCGCGCTCGGCGGGACCTCCTGCCGGGCGCGCAAGGCTTGCAGACACTCGCCCGAAGCACGGGAGCCCTCTGGAGGGCTCCCGTGCTTCGGCGACAGCTGCCGCCCGAAGCCTCGCGCGCTCGGCGGGACCTCCTGCTGGGCGCGCAAGGCTTGCAGACACTCCCCCGAAGCACGGGGAGCCCACCGGAGGGCTCCCCGTGCTTCAGGCGACAGGCTGCTGCCCCAAGCCTCGCGCGCTCGGCAGGACCACCTGCCCGGCGCGCAAGGCTTGCGGACACTCGCCGGGGCTGCAGGCTGCTGCCCGCAAGCCTTGTGAGCCCGCGGGAACTCCCACCGGGCTTACAAGGCTTGCGGATAGTTTCCTGAAGCCTGGAGAGCGAGAGGGGTCGGTGCGCACCGATGCCTCTCGCTCTCCAGGCTTCAGCAAGCTCTGCATTCGCTCCATAGGACGCACACACATTTCCCCTTCATTTTTGGAGGGGAAAAAGTGCGTCCTATGGAGCGAAAAATACGGTATTTCAGCAAGTCCTTTCCATCTTTCTCAATTTTCGTTCTAAAATTTAACTTAAGACACTCTAACCTTAAATTTTCCACTTCGGTCCATTAACAATCTATTTTTACTTAATTCTTTATAACATTTCTGCTAAAGCCATATAACTTCATTCCAGCATCCTTCTAACATTCATTAATTTTGCAATATTTCTGTAAATATACTTTAAATTTTTTCCAATCTTCTTCCACCGACTCTTCTCCCTGATCTCGAATTCTGCCAGTCATTTCCGCCAGTTCCATGTAGTCCCTCAGCTTCATCTGCCATTCTTCCCTGGTGGGTAGATCTTGTGTCTTCCAATGCTTTGCAATGAGTATTCTTGATGCTGTTGTAGCGTACATAAAGAAAGTTCTATCTTTCTTTGGCACCAATTGGCCGACCATGCCCAGGAGAAAGGCCTCTGGTTTCTTCAGAAAGGTATATTTATATACCTTTTTCATTTCATTATAGATCATCTCCCAGAATGCCTTAATCTTTGGGCATGTCCACCAAAGGTGAAAGAATGTACCTTCAGTTTCATTACATTTCCAACATTTATTATCGGGCAAATGATAGATTTTTGCAAGCTTGACTGGTGTTATGTACCACCTATAAATCATTTTCATTAAATTCTCTTTTAAGGCATTGCATGCCGTAAACTTCATACCAGTGGTCCATAACTGTTCCCAGTCAGCCATCATAATATTATGTCCAACATCTTGTGCCCATTTAATCATAGCAGATTTCACCATTTCATCTTGAGTGTTCCATTTCAACAGCAAGTTATACATTCTTGACAAATTCTTAACTTTAGGATCTAACAATTCTGTTTCCAACTTTGATTTTTCCACCTGGAAGCCAATTTTTCTATCCAAATTATAGGCCTCCATTATTTGATAATAATGGAGCCAATCTCGTACTCTGTTTTTTAATTTTTCAAAACTCTGCAGTTTTAATCTGTCACCCTCTTGTTCCAAAATTTCCCAATACTTCGGCCATTTGGCCTCCATATTGAGTTTTTTCTGAGCCTTTGCTTCTATTGGTGACAACAATCTTGGGGTTTTATTTTCTAACAAATCCTTATATCTTATCTAAACATTAAACAGTGCTTTTCTTACAATATGGTTTTTGAACGCTTTGTGTGCTTTAACCTTATCATACCACAAATATGCATGCCAACATTATTGAAACCTTTCAAGTCCAAAACGTCCGTGTTTTCAAGAAGCATCCATTCTCTCAGCCAACAAAAAGCGGCTGATTCATAATAAAGTTTTAAGTCTGGCAGGGCAAATTCACCTCTTTCTTTAGCATCAGTTAATATCTTAAATTTTATACGAGGCTTCTTGCCCTGCCAGACAAATCTGGATATAGCTCTCTGCCACTTCTTGAAACAGTCCATTTTGTCCAAAATTTGCAGTGTTTGAAACAAAAACAGCATTCTTGGCAATACATTCATTTTTATCACAGTAATTCGGCCTAACAACGATAACTTCAAATTTGACCATATTTCTAAAAAAAATTTTAGAAAACATTTTTCATAATTATCCTTAAATAAATTCACATTCTTAGCGGTCATATTAACCCCTAAATATTTCACTTTCTTAACCAGTGTCAATCCTGTCTCCTTCTGAAACTTCTCTCTCTCAATCTCTGTTAGGTTCTTTTCTAATACCTTAGTTTTCATCTTATTCAACTTAAAACCTGCCACCTGACCAAATTCTTGAATTAATTCTAATACTCTTTTAGTGCTAGATTCTGGCTCCTGTAAAGTCAATACTAAATCATCAGCAAATGCTTTCAATTTGTACTGTTTCGCTCCCAC